ATAGTAGTAGTAGTGGTAGTAGTAGTAGTAGTAGTAGTAGTAGTAGTAGTAGTAGTAGTAGTAGTAGTAGTAGTGTTTAGAGTATCATCGAGACACCGTTCACGTCATTTAGAAGGTGGGCTTTGACACTACTTGTCAGGTCCAACCTGCGCTGAGAGGAATACAAGATTATAGCAGAAAGACCGAGATACTAGATAGATAAAGTTTCTTCCCACATGGGAATCTTACTTGGGTCTTCTGCGTGCTACGGCGCACAGCCTAACCACTACACCACAGACAGCGGTTTGGTTTTTTGTATGGCAAGTAGATAAACTTCATCGAAGTGACTATTTTTTGCCAACGTTTTAAAAGAAATTGCCTTTGCTTATGATCGACTGATAATGCCATTATTCATTTTCATTGAGCACCTCCCTGTGCGTTTTAACACATAAGATACCAAAATTAATTGATTCCTGAGTGTTGGAGGATGTTGTTTTTTTTAAATTGAGTCTCTGTCTATCTGTTAGGACATCGTATTTCTCTCAGCTCGTGTTGGCCCAGACAAACACAATCTAAGCAGCCCGTTTCCTAACAAGATCTATCTAAATTGTGCGGATGTGGGTGTAAACCCATTCTTTTAACAGTTACCATTTTGGTTCTTTCTTTCATTCTTTACTTATATCTTTTTTTTATTTTATTATTTGCTTTGAGCTTGTGCAATGGCATCAACCTTGGTACATTAACTCATGGCAGAAACAAAAGTTGAACCCACACCTGTAGGACAAGTTTCAAACTGTGAATCGGGCAGATCTGAAAGAAGTGACCAGGCAGTTGTTATCCAACGACATGTTTGACCAGGCAATATTTCTTTTGCGTCGACAGCATCAGTGTGTAATTTTCCGTGATGTGCAAGATAGGCTATCACTGAGGGCAAAACCTATGAGAACAAACTTTGGGATAATCCGCAGGTCCAGCACACAATAGCACAGGTCCGTCCAGAAGTTCAGGGTATCTCTTGAATAAGCGTTGCCAATACTTAGAGAAACAACAACAACAAAAAAGGTCACAAAAAATAATATCCGGCAAAGGTGAGAGTAAAGTCACTCACTCGTTGCAACTTTCACTTTTCGACACTATCACAAAAATATCCTTTTAGTAATAGATCCGATGATCTTGACCCGAATAAATTTACCGACAAAAGTTAGAACAATTCAAGAGCTATTATAATGAAAATTTCAACTTGTTCTCTCCACTAAAATGTGATAGTATTCCTAGGAATATTTAAGCCTCCTCGTTGAAACAAATTAATAGAATGTGCAGAAGACGAAAGCTTCTTCGGTGGAAACTGTGACCGTTAAACTTTTTTTTAAATGCTGAATTGAAGCATCGAAATTAATGTAATTTTGTTACTGTAACACAAATCTTTTGGGAAAAAAGCCCTGACGCAATGCGTGCAATTATTCACGAACTAAACAACACGAGAACCACAATCTGTTGCCAACACTGTGAGTGAAACACGATCCCACCAAACATCCTTTTCCTTCCGTGAGCGACCGCACAGTAGTTAGCAAGTAGTCAACAGCAGTCAACACACGTGCGATACAGACGAAACGTTCCGAACACCCCGCCTTTTCTTTCAGCCTTCACTCATTCAGTGCAGCCGTCTCCGAGTGGTCAACGGGTCTATCAGCGCTTCCCCTCTCCGTTTCGTTACTAAACAGAGCGAGCGCTCACCCACTCCCTCATTCCCTTCCTCCCTTCACCCTCCTCGCTCACCTCGCTCAACTCGCTCGCGCATAATGTGTAAAGAGGGGCTCGTCTCGCCTCATAGCGAATCCTAACAAAAAGGAGGCGCGATGAGCCAAACCGAAAGTGAGTTCGTTGGCAACATGTGTCCTCATATATGTATTGATGTAGTGTGTGTGTGTGTGTGGTGTGTGTGCTGCGTGTGTGTATGTGTTTCATTGCAGTATATAATGTGTGTGTGTTCGTGTGCATGTGTGTGCTTGTATGTGAGAGTTTGATTGTGTGTACATATATATATGTATGTGCATGTGAGTGGGAGCATATGTGTGTATTTGTGTATGTGTGTGGGTGTGTGTGTGAAAGAGAGAGAGAGAGAGAGAGAGA